GTATAGAAAACATCTGAAGAAATTACAAGATTTTAAGAAAATGACAAACATCAGCAATTTACCAGGCCTGCAAGGGAACATAAGAAATCTGATAACTTATCACCACTAAGGCAAATTTGTGTGAGTGAATTCTATGAATACACAGGACTGGACAAAATCTTAAGAAGACAGATGGTCTATACTCATCTTCAGGTTAGGCTTTTCCTAAATACTTCCAAACAATGATAATGATGATGATGACATCAGTACTTTGAGCTTTTATTTACTGAGTTCCTCATATATATATATCATATAGAATAGGAAGAAACTAATTTTTATGAAACACCTGCAGTTGTCCATGCGCTATACTGCAAACTTTATATGTCATCTTACAGAAAATAGCAAACCCATACAATAAGTCACAATTATTTCCCCCATTTTACACACGCACAGCCAGCCAGAAACACACAAAGAAAAAGTATCTTGCTCTAATTCACCCAGCAATTTAATTGTAAAACTGTGATTCAAACACATGTTTAATAGTCCTCACGATCTGAAAAATTTCCCAAGTAATCTAATTTCCAACTTCTATGCCATCTTCTAAGCCAAAAGATGCTAGATAGGTAGCCATCCTAATTTTTTTCAATCATTTTACATTAAAAAAACTGTGAATATGCTATAAGGTAAGACAAATTTAAATATTTGGAAAAGATTTGAAAACACAATTAATAGAAGAGAACTTCAAATGGCTAACAATGTTTGGTAAAATGGTCACCCTCACTAATAACCAGAAAAACACAAATTAAAATGAGATATCCCTTTATACCCATCAGGTTTGTAAAAATTATAATTTTCCATAATATTAAGTGTTGAGGGAACAGTGAGACTTGCAGCCTTTGTACAAGGTTAGTGGGAATCTAGGACTAATGAGGTCAGTTAGTAATGTTTGGAGAAATTTGTGGGTGTACCCTAGATCCAATGATAGGGTCTCCCACGTATTTTGTGGGAGCTAGGAGCTGGTGTCAAACAAGTTCTATTATTAGGGAACAGATAAATAAAATATATTCAATGCACACTATGGAATAACATGCAGTAGTTGGTAGCAATGAATGAGTACTTATAGCATCATCTCAAAAACAGCATGTTTGAGTGAATAAAAAATATGGCAGAGAATGAAATCTATTGCACAATACCACTTACTTAAATTAAAACATGCATGCATATAATGAGTTTATGTATTTTTCAAAGATATTTATATACTCAATGACATATATCAAACTCATTGGAATGGCTGCTTGTGGGGGAAGGGAAAATGGAAATGAGGTCAAGAATGAACTGAAAAAATATGGAGGGAAAAAAGAGACAGGCCTGACCAGACAGCTAATGATTGAACATTATTAACTACAGAGTGTGACTAACTCATCTCTCAGCAGTTGAGGTATCCCCAAAGACAACTAAAACTGCTGTGGAATGAAGCTCTATTGTTATTGGCTAAGAGCTTATGCTGACCTTGGATATTTGAATTTACAAAACTATGTACCCAACATTTTATTGGGAAAGGAAGCCACATCAGGAAAATGTGGTTTGAATGCTGTGGGGAGCAGAGGAAAATTTTTTCTAAAGATAAAATAATTAATTTCTTAGATTTGTACTTGGAGAAAACACGATGGCAAATATTTTGGCCATTGTTAGAATTTGTTCATTAGTCTTATCTTAATGGAAGAGAATCTGTTCGACAAAATCATTGCCTTTGAGCAGAACAGTCTCGTGGTAGATCGTTACTCTACGTATAAATAGCAAAAAGAGCCTTTCAGCCTGAGTTCCACTGTCAATCCCTCTCATTCACTCACCAATCAAGGGCTATGGAACCTGCACAGACAGGTTCCTGTGGACAACTTGCTCTGCAAGGCAGAATGCGCCAATGGAATTGTTCTTTTGTCCTGGTCAACCTGATTTCATAAGGAAGGAAATACTAGGAAAAGCTAACATAATCCTTCTCCAAATAATCACACAACTTTAACATTTTTAGACATAGGGTCAAGAATATATTTTCAATCCAGTGTTTCAGGAAGTTGGAAATGATACATTAATAAATGAGTGAATAAGTAAACCAAAAAATGAAAACAAGTGAAACAAAACAGAAAACCTAAGATACAAGTCCTTACCTTAAATACAGTATTTACCCTTGGCTACAAATTTGAGGTAATATGCCCTACAATAAATGTTATAATTTGGCTGAAAGTGATTTTATCCATTTTGATAAGATAGATGAAGGATAAATATAGGGTAAATAAGAAATAACTTCATTTATCTACACTTTTTGAGAATTACGGTTTATTTTATGTGATTCATCACTTAACCTAATGACTACTTTTTGTTAGTTCGCTTCCCTTTTTAAAAAAATCTAAATGTTTTCAGTAGAATTATTGATTGTTTGCAGTGATTAGAAATTAACTGTAGACTTTTGGCATAGAATATCCAAGTACCCATAACAATTAATGTGCTATAACAGTAATGTCTGCAAGTGTCACTGGAATGTTAGGACTTGGCCTGATGCGAATAGTCTTGAACTTCCACGTGTTTACAAATTCAATTTGCCTTTTCTTGGTACATTTTCTCTCTGTTTTCTGTTTTCTTTTACTTCTTTTTACCATGATTTTTTTTCAGATGTTACACCCTCCCTTGGCCATCCTTATGCCTATCATGGTCATATCCTTTCCTGTGTGTGTGTTTGTGTGTGTGCATCTATCTGTCTGTCTATCTATCTATCTATCTATCTATCTATCTATCTATCTATCTATCTATCTATCTATCTGTCTGTCTATCTATCTCTCTATGTATCTACCTATCTAATCTATCTAAAATGTATGCTTATATATATATAATATGAATACATATATATATATATATAAAGGTCCATGGGTTTTGTGACAACCATTTAGAGAAGTTACTTGCTGTTTACTTTAGGGTATATGTACCAACCTCAATTATCCAGGGGAAGTTATAAAAACTTTGTGGTACCCAGAGTAGGGAATCCTTTCTGTTCAAAATTATTTTAAATAAATTGTCAAGGTTTTTATTTGGATTTCTCTGCCTACTAATAGATATATGTGTTCCATTTAGGGTTCGTAGTTCATTTCTTTCTATAAGGTGATCAACCAAAAGGAACAGATAGAATTTAGTAGTACCTATTTTATTTTGCAGCTCCTGAATTTTACCAATGAGTTAAAAAAAGGTGTTTATTTTTTTTTTCCTCTTCGGCTAACTCCAGAATATTCAGAGGCTAACAAAATCTAAATCTTATTTAGTTCTTGTTATAGCAACAGCAAAATTTAGCATTGGAAGGTACAAACATTACTTCATCTGAAGAGGTATGAATAACTTCTCAGCCTTTTTTCTCATTAGAATGCTACTCTCCAGCTGCAAAGAGTAAACCTTGTGAATGGGGCTATGTCTCCACACTTAGCAGTGGAATTGTAATAAAATTACAGTAACCACCTTTTTGTTAGAAGTTCTCTGAAGTTGAGCTATTAACATAACCAACAGTACCTAAAGTGTGACCTGCAAACAAAGCCTTTCAAACACCAAACACAATGCCCTATTCATAGTCGATACTCTATAAATAGCAGATCACCGTTTCCCTTCCCTTAATCCTTAAAATAACCTTAACTAGTAAATATTGTTATCTCATTTTTAAGAAAAATAAATAAATAAATAACCTCTTGGTCCCATTTGATCACTATAAAAGAAGATGTATCTGGCCATCCAAGCTGGTTACACAAGCTCAGTGGCAAAACTATTTCTGAAGTGGTCTGTATTTTCTCAATTTAAGAGCCTCCCAGCATCGACCATCATGCCTCTTTGCAGAAGTGCAACTGTTAAAGAAACATTGGGTGGTCTGGGCCCTGCACCATGGATGCACAAACAGTTTCATCAAATGACCCTCACAACAGCCTGAATGTCACATGAAAAATTTTCAACATGTAAGCACAGAGGGCACACAAGGATAGCAACACTTAAAAGCTCAAAAAAGCATGAATTGCAATATGCTGGGCTTCTATAATCACACATAATCCAATAATGTCTTAAATCAACATTAAAACAAATTTTTTTTCAAGGGTTCACAGGTTATTTTCATGAGAAGAATTTTTAAAATGAGAAAATTATCTTGTAATTTGTGCCTGTATTTCTTTAATATTATTAAGTAATAATGTACTATCAACCCTGATGTCATACTAAGAAAATATTTCTGTGTAAATCTAACATCTTCAATATACTCTCAAGTCACAAATAACATTATATCACAAATTTACATGTAATAGTTTCCCCCAAAATAATTTCATTCCTTAAAAAGTGACACAGCTGTAGCTGTATTTCTGAGCAGTAACATTCAGAGAAAGATCACCAACAAGTGATAGGTGGCAATATTCAATGTAGAAAATTATTGAAAATAATCAAGTTTACCATTAGTGGTGAAAATAAAATAGTCTACTCTTGATGTATTCTGTGACATTTTAAAAACTATTCTTGTCAATGATGGCAAATGTAAAAAGAAATATATGCATACATACAATTTTTTCTGATATACATATACATATAAATTAGAAGAAATATAATGGCAACTACAATTTTAATGTAATTTTTACCTTGATTTAAGAATGTCCAGTGGAAAGATACTTTTAAAGCATAATACAACAATAATTAAAACATGTACAATTCATGAAACTTAAGAATATCATTCTTATACTTTCCACCTTAAAGGTCAGAAGTGAATCTATGTTATAATAATTCCTTTTAGTAGTATACTTGCGAGGTTAACTTATCTGCAACTTTCCTTTAATATTCTAGGACTTAAAAGTTCTTCCTGGGTTTTAAAAAATATTTCTATTTTCTTCCCCTTTATGTATAGGAGGAGTTAGTTGTCTTAAAAAAACAGAACAAATACCTGTGAAATGTGAATGGGCATTGGTTAAGCATTATATTGGTTTAAATTAGGAGAAGATCGAGGAGAAAATACTCACAAAAAGATAATTGTCATCCAGACTCTTCAATTAGTTACATTTTCTTTCTTTTTTCCTTCTTAATGAATGAGAGACAAATACATCTTTGGCATTCCCAGTGACTCTGAAGTGTAAACTCCATCAGATCATCTAGATGCACAACTGTCCGACAACATTATAATAAAGGCAGTAAATAAATTTGTTCAAAATACCAGCTGAAATGCCTGAGGTTTCGTCAGTGGCCATGGTTGAAGCTCATCATGATTTGGAGAGTGCAGCTGAAACCTCGAAGACTTATACACCGAGCAACAATGAAGATACTGTATAATCAACTAGGATTACAGAGGAAAAAGCACAAAGTGCTTTCAGTCCATAAAAGAAGTGATTATCACGAGGAAAGGGAAGTGACTGTTGGATTTAAAAAGCATACAGAGAGAGACAGAGAAAAAAAATACATATATATATATAAAATGTCACCACCCTACCCCCAGAAGATGTTGAAATCACAAAGAACAATTTTCAAAGGAAATATAATAAGCTCACAGATGAAAAACCACTTACACAAACCATTTTCAGCTGTACACTTTGTTAAATGATCTGCAAAATTAGAAAAAGAAACTGAATCATTGTTGAGGTACATTATCTAAAGGGTACACGGTGTCCAGAAATTCTGTTGCCTCCTTCATCTGAGTCAATGTGAGGTTTGCATTAGTAAGAATTGTGTACTAACAAAAAAAAAAAAAAACAAAAGAAAACCACACACAAAAAAGAGAAAGCTAGAGAACCAGTATCGAGGCAAGAAACAAAAGGTAGTCAACAACGTTCTTTTCTCAGTGCAGAGAGGGCTTATTGAAATATAAGCAAGTACCTTTTTTTCTTTCAACTAGTATATATGAGTTAAAATTTTCCAGTGCTTCTGAAAAAGGTTCTTTCTATAAATGGTGCATTTTAAATACCACTTAATAGTTGTTATTGAAATTTGGCTCATGAAAAAACTAGTTATTTTTTTTCTGTATAATGTGGCAAACATGTCACTATGCATGTCAGCTAATTGCATAGTATCTTGCTGCTGTTTTGTTTTGTGTGCACTTCTATTAACAATTTCAGCTTATAACAACGATTCTTTTCCTTTTGCATCTCAGTACACCTGATGTAAACTTTTTCTCCCATCAATAATGGGGATTCATGACAGTCATCATGAAATCTTAGATAGGAGACAATGTTGTCAGAATCTCTCTCTAGGGGAAAGTTGAGAAGGGATTGCATAGTTCAGTATTTTCCTCAGGAGATTCTGATGTGTGCCCCTAGAGGTTATAAACCGTACCCACTTTTGAGAATCACCGATCTTCCTAGGGGTTATAAACTACCTTCTCTTTTGAGAATTACTGATTTCCGAATGAAGACAAATAATTTATAGTTTTTCTTTAAGCCAAACTAACACACTTCTAGAACACAGTATATAGATGCTAGATACACCATGGGCATTCACTCACTCACATTCGATAGAGCTTGCACTTTGATTTTTTTTTCCGATAGCAATAAAAGGTTCATGCCCATCCACCAGCTTGGTTGTGATCATCATGTAAAAAGGTTGTCTGGGGTTAAGGTACTAGATAGGCTATGGGATAGAATAAAATTTCACTTCGGCTTATTTGCTTAGCAATTCTAACCAAAGCTAATGAGCCATAGATCAAAGCAATTCGTTGACAATATTAATGGCAGCCTGAGGTCTAAGTAAATTATTTGACCTTTCACTCTGTTACTTGGCCGTCGGGAAGCTGAAAGGAAGAGTTCAAGCCTAGTCTTGGTTGTGACTACATTCGCTAGCACCTGAAATAATGAGTTTTGGTAGCCATAGTGTTTTTTTAATATATATATATATATATAATTGATACATACTATTTGTACATTTTTATGCAGTACATGTGGTATTTTGTTACATGCATAGAATGTGTAAGATCAAGTCAGGGTATTTAGGGTGTCCAGCACCTTGAGTATTTGTCATTTCAATGTGTTGAGAACATTTCTAGTCCTCTCTTCCAGTTATTTTGATACATATACAATACATTGTTGCTAACTATAGACATCCTACTCTGCTATCAAACATTAGAACTTATTCCTTCTACTTAACTGTATGTTTGTACCAATTTATGCCCATCCATTCCTCTACCCACCCACCCACACACATTCTTGCCAATTGGTAACTACTACTTTTAACGTCACTTTTAAATGTCAAAAACTGCAATTACTTTTGTACCAATCTAATATTTCACTCTGTACCCCTATGAGATCCACTTTTTTAGCTCCCACATACAAGTGAGAACATGCAATATTTGTCTTTCTGTGCTTGGCTTATTTCACTTAATATGGTGACCTCCAGTTCCATCCATGTTGCTGCAAATGACCAGATTTCATTCTTTCTTAACGAAAGGTGAATAGTATTACATTGTGTATATATACAAATTTTCTTTATCCAATCATCCAATAGTAGACACTCAGGTTGATTCTATAGCTTTGCTTTTGTGAACAGTGCTGCAATAAACATGTGAGTGCAGGTATCCTTGTGATACAATTTCCTTTCTTATGGATAAATACACAGCAATGGGATTGCTGGATAGTATGATTTTTGAGAAATCTAAATGCTATTTTTCATAGTGGCTGTACTAATTTACATTCCCATCAACAGTGTATAAGAGCTCCTTTTTCTCTGCATCCTCAACAACATCTGTTTTTTTTTTTGTTTGTTTGTTTTTTAAATTACTAATAGTCCTAACTGGGGTAAGATGATATCTCATTGTGGTTTTGATTTGCATTTCACTGATGCTTAGAAATACTGAGCATTTTAAAAATATGACTGTTGGCCATTTGTATGTCTTCTTTAGAGAAATGTCTAATCATGTACTTTGCCCATATTTTGATAGGATTATTAGTGTTTTTTGACTGAGTTGTTTGAGTTCCTTGCATATTCTGGATATTAGTCTCTATCAGATGAATAATTTGCAAATATTTTCTGCCATTCAACAGGTTGTCTCTTCACTCTATTGATTATCTCCTTTGCTGTGCAGAAGATTTTTAGTTTAACATAGTCTATTCTTGTTTTTGTTGTCTGCACCTTTGAGATCTTAGTCATAAAATCTTTGCCTAGTCCAATATCCTGTGGTGTTTCCCTTATGTTTTCTCCTTGTAGTTTTATAGTTTTGGGTCTTATTTTTAGGACTTTAATCCATTTGGAATTGATATTTTTATATGATGAGAGATAGCGATCTAGTTTTATTCTTCTGCATATGAATATCCAGTTTTACCAGCGCCACGTACTGGAGTGGATATCCTTTCCCCAATGTGTGTTCTTGGAGCCTTTGTTGAAAATCAGTTGGCTATAAAAATGTGGGTTTATTTCTGGGTTCTCTACTTTTTGTTTTTTTGTTTGTTTTCATTTTTGAGACAGTTTTGCTCCATCGCACAATCATGTTTCACTGCAGCCTCAACCTCCTGGGCCCAAGCGATCCTCCTGCCTCAACCTCCCAAGCAGCTGAGATTACAGAAGCAGAACACATGCCTGGCTATTTTTTTTGTTTTTTAGACATGGGGTCTTGCAATGTTGCCCAGAGTGTTTTTGAACTCCTGGCCTCAAGTGATCCTCCCACCTTGGCCTCTCAAAATGCTGGGATTACAGGTGTGAGCTACCATGCCTAGCCTTGGGTTCTGTATTTGTTCCATTGGCCTGTGTCTTTTTGTACCAGCACTGCGCTGTGTTGATGACTATAGCCTTGTAATATATTTTGAGGTCAGGTAGTGTGATACATCCAGCTTTGTTCTTTTTTCTCAGTATTGTTTTGGCCACTAGAGCTGTTTTTTTTGTTTGTTTGTTTGTTTGTTTTTTTGTTCTGTAACAATTTTAGAGTTGTTTTTTCTATTCTGGTGAAAAAATAACATTGATATCTTAATAGGGATTGCATTGAATCTGTAAATTGATTTGGGTTGTATGGTCATTTTAACAATATTAATTCTTCCAATCCATGAGCATGGGGTGACTTTCCATTTGTTTTGTGTCCTCTCTAATTTCTTTCATCAGTATTTTGTAGTTTTTCTTATAGAGATCTTTCACATCTTTGATTAAATTTATTCCTGGATTTAGTTTATTGTAAATGGGATTTATTGTAAATGGGATTGCCTGCTTGATTTTTTTTTTGGTTATATCATTATTGATACGTAAAGACACTACTGATTTTTTTTATGTTGACTTTGTATCTTGCAACTTTACTAAATTTACTTATCAGATCTAACAGTTTAATGTCATCAACAAAGAGGATCAATTTGATTTCCTCCTTTCAAATTTGGAAGCCTTTTCTTTCTCTTCTTTGCCTGATTGCTCTAAGACTTCCAGTACTATGCTGAATACGAGTGATGAAAGTGGGCATCCTTGTTTTGTTCCCATTCTTTGAGAAAATGCTTGCAGTCTTTCCCCATTTATTATGATGCTTCTTGAGGGGTTGTTATTTATGGACTTTATTATGTTCAGGTATGTTTCTGGTATGCCTAGTTTGTTGAGAGTTTTCACTATGAAGGATTGTTGGACTTTATCAAATGCTTTTTTTTTGCATTTATTGAGGTTATCACATGTTTTTTGTCATTCATTCTGTTGGTGTGCTGTGTCACATTTATTGATTTGCATACGTTGAACCACCATTGCATCTCTGGGATAAATCCCACTTGTATTATATTTTTGATGTGTTATTGACTTTGGTTTGCTAGTATTTTGTTGAAGATTTTTGCATCTATGTTCACCATGTATAGTGATGTGTAGTTTTCTTTTTTTGTTGTGCTCTTGTCTGGTTTGGGTATCACAGTAATGCTGACCTTGTAAAATGAGTTGGAAAGAATTCCCTCCTCTTCAATTCCTTGGAATATTTTGATAACAATTAGTGTTAATTCTTCTGTGGAAGTTTGGTAGAATTTGGCAGTGAAGCCATCTGGTTCTGGACTTTTATTTTTGTTAGGAGACTTTTTGTTACTGAGTCAATCTTGTTATTTGTTATTAGCCTTTTCAGGTTTTCTATTTCTTCCTGATTCATTCTTGGTAGGTTATATATGTCCAGGAATTCATCCATTTCCTCTATGTTTTTCACTGTGTTGTATAGATTTTCATAATAGTATCTGGTGGTATTTTGTGTTCTTGTGGTATCAGTTGTAATGTCTCCTTTTTCATTTCTGGTTGTGTTTATTTGGGAACTCGTTTCTTGGTTAGTTTATCCATTTTATTTATCTTTTAGAAAAATCAGCTTGTCATTTTGTTGATCCTTTGTCTTAACTTTTTTGTCTTTATTTCATTTAGTTTTGCCCCTATCTTTATTATTTATTTTCCTCTGCTAATTTTGAGTTTGGTTTGTTCTCGCTTTTCTAGTT